TCCCTCCTTTCCTCCCTTCCTTCCTGTGTTTCTTCACCTTCCTTCCTCCCTCCCTTCCTTCCTTCCTTCTTTTCCTTCCCTCTTCCTTCTCCTTTCTAATATGTCTTTAATTCAAGCTTGCATGTTAAGTCGACATTCGTATGTACACACAGACTGCCTACAAGTAGACTAGAATAGAATAATAGAGTTGGGAGGGACCTTGGAGGTCTTCTAGTCCAACCCTCTGCTTAGGCAGTAAACCTTCTGCCATTTCAGACAAAAGGTTGTCGAATCTCTTCTTAAGAAATTCCAGTGTTGGAGCATTTACAACTTCTGGAGGCAAGTTGTTCCACTGATTAATTGTTCTAACTGTCAGGAAATTTCTCCTTAGTTCTAAGGTTGCTTTTCTCCTTGATTAGTTTCCACCCGTTGCTTCTTATCCTGCCCTCCAGGTGATTTGGAGAATAGCTTGACTCCCTCTTCTTTGGGGCAGCCCCTGAGATACTGGAACGCTGCTATCATGTCTCCCCTAGTCCTCCTTTTCATTAGACTAGACAAACCCAGTTCCTGCAACTGTTCTTCATATATTTTAGTCTCCGGTCCCCTAATCCTCTTGGTTGCTCTTCTCATTTAGCATCAAAGTTAGAAGCTGCCAACTTAATTTTAAGGTTTTAAACGTGTTACTGTTTTTCTATTTTCATTTTTATAAAAATGGAGGGACGTTCTCAACAGTGAGATGGAAGAAGGATATAAATTTAACACATAAACAGACTTCAACCAAATTTTTCTTTCTGCCCACCCCCCGCCCCCTTACCTGATACTGCTTCGACAGTGACAGGACGGGGATGACTCTGGCCGCAGAACGCCCCAATGAGGCTCCGATCCAGCTGGATCAGTCCTGTGTCCAGGAAGTCGGGGACGCCATCAAAAACGTAGATATAGTTGTGCTAAGGAGGCGTTGGAAGAGATGAGACCCCCCAACAGAGTTAGAAATGCTGCTGTTTTAGCAAGAGATCCATGTAATAACACGGCTGTCGGGTGAGTGGATATGTACGGGGAGTCCTCAGTTTGCGACCCAATTTATGTTGCTAAGTGAGCAATTTGTTAAGTGAGGATTCAAAAATCCAGCAACTGGTTTGCTGCCCAGCTGCTGGGTGGGGCCGTGGTGGGCGGGACCTACTGGAACTTCCCGTTTCCGGCTTCCAATGGGCCCCCAGAGCCTGAGGGAGGCCATTTTCACCCTCCCAAGGATCCAGAGGCCTCCCCCAGGTCTCCGGAGGCCCACCGGAAGTCAGAAACATGCTCGTTTCTGGACTTCCAGAGGGCCCGTTTTTCTCCCTCCCAGAGCCTCCATGTGGACCGCGCCCTTAACCTCCATCGAAAACGGACTGCGTGGAGAGCCCTGGGAGGGGTGGGGCCAGCCAGTCATTGGAAATACTGGTTTGGTGAACCAGCTGTAACTTTAACATCCGGTTCGCTTGAACTGGTCCGAACCGGTAGAATGCCACTCCTTGGTTTGCCTCCATTCTACCACTTTTCTTTGCCAGGTTTGTTAAGGGAAACCCTGCCGTTGTTAAGCTAGCAACACGGTTGTTAAGTGAATCCGCCTTCCCCATTGGCTTTGCTAATTGTCGGAAGGTCACGAAAAAGGGATCACACGACCCCGGGACACTGCAACCATCATAAATGTGAATCAGTTGCTAAGCACGCCGCAACGGTCGCTTTTTTTTTTTTCCCAATGTCTCCTTCTGCTTCTTCCAAACCTAAAAAACCTGCACCGTCGGGGGCCGCAACTTGCCCCGATTAGCGACTGAACTCCTGAACTCACCCCTGCGTTATCCCTCTCGCTTACCATACAAAGGGTGTCCGGCTGAATGGTGAGTGTGATTGTCGGGCAGGTTTGTTCCGGCCGGCAAGGCTGGATGTCCGCACCAGTCGACAAAACCCAGACGCAGTAAGAGAGCCCGTTGGCGAGGGGGCCCCCAGCCCGCTGAGAGCTCAGGGAGGAAGAGGAAGAGAGGTTGAGCAGCAACGTGCGCCCCACGCATTCCTGGTAGCAGATGCCACCATTTCTGTGGAAGAAAAAAGAAATCCATGGAAAATATGGGCTCAGGCTCGCAGGCTCCGGCATTTATTTATTAGAATATGTATTTATTTTGAATACTTTCATCATAATAATAAGTCTTTATTGATTAGCCCTTGGGCCATATCAAAATACAAAGTTCAGCAACAATTAAATACAAGTAATACAAACATAGTACGTATACATCTAAATACACAAAAAGGAAAAAAAGAAAAAAAATACAAATATTATAGTGCACCCCCACCCCCGGAGACCATTTTTTTTCCTCTTATATTTCTTCTTCTATAATGATGAAAAGATATACAATATATTCCAATTGTGCCCTTATCCCTTCCAAAACAACGTATATTCTTTAGGTTTATTTCCTTTGCCTTCCACCAACACTGTTTTTATAAAATCCCCCCATATTTCATTACAATCGTTTGCTTTAATCATCCCTTTTTTAAATTTAATTTCTGATGTAAGAAAGAAAGAGGAAAGAAAGAAAGAAAGAAAGAGGAAAGGAAGGAAGAAAAAGAAAGGAAGGAGGCAAAGAGGAAGAAAGAGAAAGGAAGAATGGATGGATCAGGGAAGGGAGGGAGGGAAGGATGAGAGAGAGAAAGAAAGGAGGGAGGGAGGGGAAAGAGGAAGGAAGGAAGGAACAAAGGATCAGGGAGGGAGGGAAAGAAGGAAGGAAGGAAGTCAATTCTTCAGAAAGAAAGAAAGAAAGCAGCCAAATTAAGGCCCTTTCAACCGTCTTTTTTACAGGCAACGTGACTTCATTCCCAGCAATTCGAGAGGTGCGCTCCCCCCTCCAGCCTCTCACCTGGGGTCTCCCGAGTAGCCGGGGGCACAGCGCTCACAGTGCAGCCCCTCGGTGGGTGGGGTGCAGTAACAGGCCCCCGTGGCACTGTGGCAATAGCCCATCTCCTCCAGGCCATGCTCGTTGCAGGCGCATTGACGGCAGCCGGTCTGGGTGGTGGCATTCCCGTAGCTGCCCGGCCGGCAAAGATGGCAGCGCTCCCCGTGAGTCCAGTCTAGGCCCACCAGTGCAGACAAGTACGATTGCGGGGTGTGGGGGGGAGAGAGAGAGAGAAACAGGTAGAGTGAAACACAAAGGAAGAGGAGAAAAGGCAGGCGAGGCCCTTGTTCATCACCTACAAGAGTTGCACGGCCAGCAGCGAGAAGGGCATTTGCACAACGCTGGAAAAATGAGGAAACCCCTACAGAAGAAAATGTAATTAAAAAAAATACTAGATTGTGCAGAAATGGACATTAAAGATAAAGGATACAGAAGATACAGAATACCTTTTAAAATTGGATTTTTTTTAATCAGTGGTTAGACAAGAGGTAGATATTAGACATTATGATTGTGCATAAGTAAATTGATCCAGATAAAATACTGTTAAAGAAAAATGTATAAATAATATAGATAGATAGATGATAGATAGGTAGGTAAACAGGTAGGTAGGTAGATATGGATGATAGGTAGGTAGGTAGGTAGGTAGGTATATGATGGATGGATGGATGGATGGATGGATGGATGGATGGATGCATGGATAAATAGACAGACAGACAGATAGATGATAGATGGATGGATGATAGGTAGGTAGGTAGGTAGATGATAGATGGATGGATGGATGGATGGATGAATAGACAGACAGACAGATAGATGATAGATGGATGGATGATAGGTAGGTAGGTAGGTAGGTAGATGACAGACAGACAGACAGACAGACAGACAGATATGGATGATGGATGGATGCATGGATGGATGGATGGATAAATAGACAGACAGACAGATAGATGATAGATGGATGGATGGATGGATGGATGATAGATAGATAGATAGAGAGAGATGATAGATAGATAGATAGATAGATAGATAGATAGATAGATAGATAGATAGATA